ATTAAAATAATAGTAGCACTAAAAGGAATCCGATATGAGACACTAACGTGTGAAAATCTCATTCCCACTAAAACAGTTCAAAATTAGGTGGTATGTTTTAACTACAGATCTAGGTTTTCAAATCCCTGAGACATGCTAACAGTTTGTTCTAGATCAGATCTCCCGTCTAATTCTCTAGGGTAGTGATTTTCAAAAGTGATAAATTAATTCAAAAGGCCTATTGTACACACTTTAAGGATATTGTAGGCTTCAGCCACAGCCATTCTGAAACGGGAAAAAGTCTCAGAACTAAACTTTCTTTGCTCCTGCTTCTGACCAGGCACTGAGTCAAGGTAACTGAACCCCTTACTTTCATTGTTAAATTACTGCTTCTCATACGCAATCAGGGTCTTCCAGATTATGACAGGCCACTGTCAAAATAGAAGAACTTAAAAGTTACTTTAAATCTAAAACTCAGACCCAGTGCTCCATTTTTAGATGCACCCTTTAATTACTTGGTGGTGTCTACATCTTACTTATGCTTAAATTTAGCAAAGTAATTTTAGATCACTCGCCTTTAGATCACTTCACTACCTTCACTAGATCTGCAATGTTACAAACATAGAGCACCGAATCCTCTCTCTTCTAAATACTAAAATGTTTAAAATAAAAGGTAAAAAAGTTAAAAGGGCAACATTTCCCCCTGGCTATTTTGAAAAACTGGTGCGAATGAGAGCCCAGCCATCGGAGACTTCTGTTTTTTTACTCTACAGAATAACTGCTTTGAATCTATCAATGTAAGAAGGTGTATACTGACAATGCACAATGTACACATAATTGCACAATGTACCTGTTCCTAAGCCAAGTGAGGGTGCAAACAAGCACCAAGGAAGATGCCATCGTGACATCAACAATACAGGGGCAGCTAGGAGACCTCCTGTGTGAGTGTCACCAACTACGGCAGGGACTTTCAAAGTCCCCCCCAAAACTCACACTGCTACTACCACGTATCAAAATTTTCTGAAATTGTGTCCAAAATATTTGAATCCCTCTGTTGCGTCAGCTTGTTTTTCTTACAAATGCAACTCAAAAGGTTTGAAGAGTTCCAAATTCAAGGTGCAGATCATAAACAAAGGCTGTGTTTTGAAGGACGATATACCCTGGGAATGCCCAAGTATCCTTACACTTTGGAGAAAGAAAATGGAACCCCTTTGGCATTCTCCTCCTCACTGGAAAAGCTTGTCCAGGAAGCAAAGAGTGATCAAGCCAGGAGGTGACAAAGAGACCTGCATTTAGAGAGATCGACCCCCAGCTTAAACGGAGCACTGACTTGCAGCATCACAAAGCCGGGATTCTGCTTATAATGACTTCCTTCTGATCTAAGTTACCTGGACCACTTCTTGCTTCCCAGGCTCCAGCAGTCTCACTAGAAGGGGGTGTCTCTCTGTCGACACCTCCTGAATGAAGTTCCATGAAAGAGTGAGTGGCACTGACATTTATTCAACACGACACTGTCTCCCCACCCTCCATATCATATGACTGATGCTGACCTGCTCTGGTTTTTCACTGGGGAATAGCAAAAGATCTCAGGAACATTAGCTCCTCTGTCTTGTGAAGAACTAAATCCCCCTTTTATTATTTTTGTTGTTGTTGTTTAAGGACAGGTAACAAGGAAAGACCAGAGCTAATATTAATTTTAGAAAAAGAAGTTGAAAATTTCCTATTACCTACTTACAAAATATATATTCCATATATGCACAATATATAAAATTTTAGAATAGTACATAAGTTAAAAATCAAGGTTGACATCTTTCAAACAGGCTTTACTTCTTACTTATATATCCGGCACTCCACTGGGATCTCATGCCTTACTACAAATAAAATAGCTAATTTTATGAGATGAGAAACTCAAGAATTTTCTTTAATACCAAAACAAAACAGGGGACTTCCCTGGTGGCGCAGTGGTTAAGAATCTGCCTGCCAATGCGGAGGACATGGGTTTGAGCCCTGGTCCGGGAAGATCCCACATGCTGCACAGCAACTGAGCCCGTGCACCACAACTACTGAGCCTGAGCTCTAGAGCCCGTGAGCCACAACTACTGAGCCCATGCACTGCAACTACTGAAGCCCACATGCCTAGAGCCCGTGCTCCGCAACGAGAAGCCACCACAATGAGTAGCCCGCACACAGCAATGAAGACCCAGCACAGCCAAAAAATAAATAAATTTTAAATAAATAAATAAAAATAAAAATGAAGTTGCTTTAAAAAAAAAAAAGAACAAGAAGTGGAGGAGGCAATGGTTATGAACACGTGTACATGCAGTCCCATTACATAATCCAATGGTAAACAAGAATTCTCAAAAATTTACCTAAAGAAGGCACATCAGAGTAAATCACCAAGAACTCATCATGAGAGAACAGATACATGGAAAATAATATATCACAATGCTACCCCAAATATTTAAAAATAAAATGAAGGAATTACAAAGTGTTAGAAAAGAGAAGAAACCAAAATTTTAAGTGTACCTGGAATTATATATTCTTAAATAACTCAAAAAGATATAATACCTATTTGCTGGCTTAGTGTAATTTCCAAAAGTCACTGAGTCAAATTGAAGCTGCGGTTACCAGACCGCAAACTGTATTTGTGATATGTGTAGAACTCATAATGCCTTTCTTCAGAATTAGAAAACTTTGCATAGTAGCCACAAATTTGCACAGCTCATCCGGTTTCCACTAGAATTGTAATTTCAATGGTATAATTAGCTCATTCATAATTTGACACATAGTGAGTTAATTTATCTGGTTGGATTTTTATGTAACTTCTATTGCCTGGTCTTCCCACTGACGAAGCCAGTGCAAGCTGCTGCCAGCGAAGCAAGGGTTAACCCCAGGAATGTGACAGTTCTCCTGGTGATAAGGTGACAGGTAGCTGAGGCCAGGTCAAGGGCTCTAAGCTGTTTGGAGAGAATTGAAAATACTCAAAAATAATCTCAATGGTAAATAAACTCTATGCCCTATGTATGTCACCAGGGGAAGACTAAAAATTTTTTTAAATCACATTGAAAGTTTTCTGAACTACAGAAGCTCCAGAAACATGCACAGTGGGAAATCCGTGGCACATATGAATATGTTCTTTGGAAAGATAACGAAATTATCCCAACGAATAAATAAACAACTCTATGTATTAAGTTCACATCGGCATTAAAATTGTTTATCCATTTTATTGGGCAGTTTAGTCTGCTATTGGTAATAGCATCTAACTGCTTTAAAGTGTTAAAAATAATTCTATGCAGTGCCTTTTGGAAAGCCTCTATACAATATATAACAGCGATACATAGATGTTGGATTTCAGGTAGAAACCAAAAAGGCTAGCTGATATACATATATATATATATATATATATATATATAATTTTTAAACATGCCAAGTTTCCCAATTAAAGTGGTAAACGGGAAGCATATAAACATAACAGCTGCAAGCTGAGGTGTCAGAAGGTGAAAAGACAGAGACAGACGTGCAGAGAAGAGACTAAGCCCAGGTTTAGGAACGCGCGGTGACAGCGCCGTCGAAGGGCGACTCCACGCACAGAAGGACCGACCCGGCAGTGACAGCCAAGCCCACACCTCGGTCTCGACTTTCAGCCAAGCGTGGGCTTTAATTCAAGCCTTATTTCCATTCCAGACAACAACAAATAACCTCTTTCTCGGTGTCCCAGACGAGGCCCCCGCGGTCAGCTTTCCCGGCCCTCGCCTTTTGCGGGGGTCTCCACTCCTCTCCCTCCGTCCCGGGCGCGCGCGCCTTCCGAGGGCCCGGGCAACGATGAGCCGTGCCTCCCGGCGTCCCACATCCCACCTGTCCCGGCGCCGTCGGAAGAGCCGGGTCAGCCCGCTGCCACCGTCCCCGCCGCCGCCTCCAGCGAAGGAGCCAGGCAGAGAGCGCGGGCCACGGGACTTACCGAGAGGCGAGCGCCGCCGTCGGGGGAGGGCGTGTCCCGCACGTGGGTGTCCGCGCGTGTCCGCGCCCGCGTGTGCCCGCGCGCGTGCCTGGCCGTGGGCGCCGAACCGGGCGGCACTGAGTCCCTGGGCGCCGACGGGCTCAGCCCATGGTGTGGGCGCCGGCCTCCGGGAGGCTCTGGCTCCCGCCAATCGCCGAGCAGGGCTGCCGCCCCGACGCGCTGCTCGAGATCCGGGAGTGCACGCCGGGGGCGGGGCGGGGCGCGGGGGTGTGAGTGGCCCGGGGCGCGGGGGTGCGCGCGCGCGCGTCCAAGTGCGCGTGGGTATGCGGGCGCGCGTGGCCGTGAGCGCGCCCTCGGGCCGCGGAGCGCGGGCGGCGCGGGCAGGTCTGGACCCCGCTTGGCTTTAGGAAGCATCTGGCGGCTCGGAGGAGGAAGAGGAGGAGAAGCGGAGCCTGGGACGGAGTGAGCCAGAGTCCAGGCCCCGGCGGCGCGGGAGAGAAACCCAGGAGGGGAGAGGAGCGAGGACCGGAGAACAGGCGAGGGGAGGGGAGGGCCCGGGAGGTGGGGGACGCCGCGGAGGTGCTTGCTCCTCAGAACTTAGTGAGAAGTAACTTTTTACCCAACCTCGGCCGTTACACACATTACAAATAATAAAAGTTAAAACTGGTTGTTTCGGGAGAAGTTTAAAATGACCATCGACTGCCTGGGATGCTGATCAGAATTAAGAGGACGTTGCCTTCAGCTTAATGAAGAGACGCGGTGCCAGGCGCCACCGGCTTTAGTAAGACCTGGAGTCACTGCCCGCGCGTCCCGAGAGCGTTGGGACCCGATGGAGGAGCCTGAGGAGCAGCGGTATGCGGTCGCGAGGATGCCAAGATGTCCAGGGGACACCCTGGTCTGATGGACAGACGCGGTGACGGCGGCCTTCCTGAGAACAGTGTCTGCAAGATACAGCCTCCAAAAGGGGGAGCCGCGAGGTCTGGCTCATCGGCCCGGGGGCACTGCGAAGCCCCTCCAGATGTTTTAGTTTATAAGTGATTTCTGACATCAAAATCGCGCTTACCTGACTGCTGCTTCTCTTCACTCATGTCCCGCGGGGACCGTCCCTGCCTGATCGCTAGGAACCCATCCTAGAGCGTCCTCTTGCAGACTCTCCCCTTTCCGACCAAGTGAAAACTACTCGTGTCCCTCCCTCTCCAAACTTTAACAGCCAAGAATTTCAGCAAACAGCCAGAAAGAAAACTAAGCCCCCCCCACCGCCTGCCACCCCAAGGGAAGGGAGGGAATAAGCACTTCTTTAATTTGAAAAATAATAATTAAAACTCCCTCAACGTTTAAGGCCGGGCAACATAATCTATTAATTGGTCGCTATTAACATGCAGTTTTATTGACCATAGCACACAGAAGTCTGATTGTGAAGGAGTGTTTTCAATGAAAGTGGAGTTATTTTAGCTGCAGACGTGTTTACATTTCTGTGGTTTAGTCTATAACTTTCTCTTTTTCTTGCTTCAGAATTCTGCTCCATGAAGCAAAGCCCTTAGCTCCCAGACATTCCAAAAAGTCTGCCAAAATAATAGAAAAAAAAAAAAGAGAGGGAAGAAAAAACACACAGAGACCCCCAAGTCTGGGTCAGGCTCAGGGTTGTAAGTGGGCATCACCAGTATGCCCCCTCTCCACACAATTTCCAGTTTAAAGAAAAAAAAAAAAGCCCTTCAGGCCTCCATTTCCTGTTTGCTGAGGAAAAAATAGGATGGGTCTAAGCAGCTGAGTTTAGAAACCGCCTTCTCCAGGACCTATAGATTCCGAGAGGTTCTTTAACCCTAGAGATGCCAAAATGAAATCATTGATATGAAAATCTACCATTCCACACTCTCCAAGGAAGTACCTCTCTTTTAAGTGGACAACCTTCACAAACTACAAATGCGTTCCTAGGAAATTTCTTGAACAAACAGGCACACCATGGTAGATGGGATGCAAGCCCACCTCTCCATAGGTGGCCAGGAGAAGATACCAATAAAAATAAGTATCGAAAACAGATTAAGTTTCTGAGAAGCATGCAATCCTTTTCTTTCTGAGGATGCGGTACAAAAAAGCAGAATGCATATTAAAAAGTGCATATTTAGTAACAGGGTTATGTCAGTTTTCACAACCTGTGCTAGAATCAAAATTGGCAGAATTGGTTGACTCCTTTGAATTGCTCGCTAGTATCACAGAAGTCACAGTATTGCCATTCACACGATCTTAAAAAATATTCAACCTGCCTCCCCCCTAAACTATCAATTGCATATTTCGGTTCCTATTCTTTAGAACTGTTCTCCAAAGATTCCAGATCCAAGAAACCTCACTGTACTTTGAAATCTTCCTCTTAGCCACTCATGTCCAAAACTCACCACAGAGAGCCTTTGTCATTTAGGGGAGTGCTTTAAAGTGAATAGATTCTCAACCTGACCAATGAGATCCGCAGTCCACGGCAATGACTCTGCTTTGCAATACATTACCCTAGCAAAGTTCCTTCAACATCATCACTTGTACCGAATACTCTAATAATATAGAACAATGCTGAAAATAATATAATGTGTGCTAACTGACAAAGGAGCTTGCTTTATGAATTAAGAACTGTACTTTCATAGTAGAACATGATTTCAACAACCCCGTTACCACTGTTGAGAACAGAAAAAATGAGTTCAGAAAAACCACAATATTTGAAACAATGTCATCTGCGGCTCGCCCTTGCTACTCTCTCCCATTCCCCCAAATATACCACACAGAGAGAGGAGGAGGGGTGGGGGGGGGAGGAGAGGAGAACGGAGAGAGAGAATTGCATAAAAGACAAAAGCACATACTAAGCCCACTCTCAAAGCTGAGGTTATTAACGTTGAAAAATCTTAGAACCCAGAATCCCAGAGTTTCACAAAATTAGGACACCATCTCCTCCAACTGATTGTATCTTGCAGTTGCAGTTAGGAAGTTGTTTCTATTGTCTAATCTAATCCCCACCTTCTACCACAGCATTCCTTTGAGTCTGGTCCATAATCAAGGTCAAGTAGTGGGAAGTCAATTTCAACTAATTAAATCAATTGAGTTAATTTGAGAGGCCAACAGAACACAAGTAATGGAGATACATTCACCATCTATCTGTGCTGCAAGACAGGAAATACGGTCATTCTAAGTTCATAAAATACAATTTAAGGGCTTCGCTGGTGGCACAGTGGTTGAGAGTCTGCCTGCCGATGCAGGGGACACGGGTTCATGCCCCGGTCCGGGAAGATCCCACATGCTGTGGAGCGGCTAAGCCCGTGAGCCATGGCCACTGAGCCTGCGGGTCCGGAGCCTGTGCTTCGCAACAGGAGAGGCCACAACAGTGAGAGGCCCGCGTACCGCAAAATAAATAAATAAATTAAATAATACATTTAAAAGGAAGGATTTTATAAAAAACACCGCTTGACACGTTCCACAAGAATTAGTATTTTTAAGTATTTCATACATGAGATAATCTTTCTATGTAAAGTTTTGTGGTTGACTTAATTCTTTTTGAAATCCCTTTTATCCAAAAGATGTTTTGGATTAATTTAAGTATTTGTTACTGGAGAATGTCAAGCTCTTGTTCAATGAAATGTCCTGAATTGGGTTGTCACACCTGTTAAATATAAGCCTCCTTTTCTTTTGATATTCTGAGAAGGGCCTTAAAAGGTTTACATCCTTCAATATGGAGATTTAATTGCTTTACCTATAATAAAAAATAATCCCTATAAAATTCAGATTGTGGATATTTCAAAGCTGAAAGAACTATTGGATTGGGATGTAAAGGTTGCAGTTCAAAAAGCCTTCCACGTTTAATATCACGTGCGTGGAGTTATGAGTTATAAACTCCTGGTTATCATTTTGTAAGGTCTGGCCTTTGTAGTCCTCGCAGGGAGTGTCTTTGAGCTTACTTTATGGCTTAGCAGTTCTGTGTGTGCACGTGTTAAATATGGAAAGGGGAGCACATCCCCCTGCAGTAAAGGCTCTCAAGGGAGGAAGTCTCAGATTCCATTTTAAATGAGGTACTGGAGTGAGGTTCGCCACACTGACACTTTTCACATCTTGGGTGAGCTCAGACCTGGCAAGAAGGACAGCCCTGGTTTGAGAAATGAGACAGTATGTGTGCTTCAGCCACTGGCCATTTCCCACTGTTCAAGCCCTGAGCATCTTCAGTGTTTCTCGGGGCATCCAGAGCCCACCCCCAACCCCCTCCCCCCCGCCACAGCCTCCACTCAATCAATTGGGACCTTCTTTTCATCCTGGAGGTGGTTGGATGGGGCTCCCACTGGGGCAACCCAAGACAGGAAAGGGAGGAGAATAAGCGTTAGAATTCTGGAGTTAGGGTCCTAAATGTAGCTTCCCTGGGGGCCCTCTCCCCACCACCATCCTCATCCCATTCTCTTTCTTCATTGACTGTAAGTGAACACGAGAGGGCAGAGGTGTAAATTCTCTTGGGAGAGTCTTCAACCCACCACAAAAGCATCCCCACTATCACCAGGATCTTTTATCGTCAGCTGCTAAGAAGTCAGTTTTATGCGCTCCTTACCCTCCTAGACAAACTAATTTCATGCAACACCCTTATCCTCTGAAGCACTTCTTCAATCGCCGTCAGATGTAGTTTAAGCCTGCAGTATACACAGCAGTTCTTAATAACACGTGGTGACCACAAACTGCTCCATAAAATTGCATAATGCATAATTCCTATCAACTTGCATAATGCACACGATGAGTTGATATGAAACACATTGTACATCTGTCAGTGAGCTTTGGTGACAAAGGTTATACAAAATGGACCGGGAGGCTGTATTTGCATTTGTAAAATGGAATTACATAGGGCACATCAGGAGATTTGCTGCAGCTCTTCTGATGATTTACTATACTTATTTGCTTGTGAGCTTCACATACATACTGTGACACTAATTCTATCAATGAACAGTTTCGTCATGTACATTTTCATCAATGGGATTACTCATGAGTGCGAAAATAGTTGCGTTTTTAGAAAGTTGACACAACTCAGTGATTTTTTTTTTGTATTGATAAAGGCCTTAGCATAACAGTGCCTCAGTGCAAATAAAATCAATATCTTAATGATTTTCTTTTGTATCCTAGAATAGAAAATTATTATTCTATGATTATGGGTGACCTGATATAATTTAAATGGGTGAAAAGTCTATTTCAGATAAAATACACAGACAGTTGACAAGGAATGAGTGAGAAGAGGAATCCAACACTTACCAGCCTTATGACCTTGGGCAAGTCACGGCCTCTTGATTGAAATCTCAATTTTCTTATCTATTAACTGAGGCTATTGGAGTGGATGACCTCAAATAGGCTAAACAAAGGAACTCCCAGGGGAGAATTTGGGTTATTCATCTTTATCTCCCCGCCTTTTGCATTGTGACTAACTGATTGATCAATTGAGGGCACATATTAGAAATTACACCTCTCTTCAATAAGCCCTGAGCACACACTCCTGCTTCTCTCCCGTGCACCCATGCAGGGAGAACAGCACCCTCTGGGCAGAGGTTCCCTTACATTTCAGTCCAGGCGTGGGTGGAGAACTGAGGTCTACACAGCAGTGATCAGAGCCGTGCCTCTACGTCAAAACCACCGGGCAGCTTAAAAAATAATGCCATTCTCTTGACCCCATCTCAGACCATGTGAATCAGAATCTTGGGGGACAGGGAGGTCTATGGCACCAATACAGATGTTTCAAACTCCCCCAGGTCATAGGCATGGACCTCCAGGGTCAATGATCACGCTGTTGAAATGACAGTCATTCATTGAATAAGGAAGGAAGTCCAGAATCTCTGTCTAATGAGATAATTCAGAAAATGTGCTTCAGAGATGAGCTCTGTCCCCCAAAACAGTTGTCTGGCCAGACTGCCCTCCTTCTGTGTTTAGTGTCAATCTTCACTCAGTCCCAAAATCCTAGAACCTTAGGATTTCTTCCTCATTTTGCCCCCGTTTCCTGGAATGTTCTTCCTTTCTTCATTGTGGTTTACCATTCAACAGGCATGTTTATCATGCAGGTGCCTTTCAGTCACTTATGCAGTAGTAACAAGGCCTGAGGCGCCCCAGTTCAAAGGGCTCCAAAGTGAGTCAAGACTCAGACCCAGATCTTGGGAGTTTTCACTGTGTGGCCAGTT